ATATATATATATATATATATATATATATATATATGTATATATATATATATATATATATATATAATATATATTATACAGACACACAAAATATCATTACTATTCTATAAAACACAAAGTGAAATGTCTTGGTACAATTTTGATGTCTTTTGTTAAAATTCCCTCATTATACTTGTAACTTAGTTACACCTAATAACTAAACTCAATTTTCTTTTATTTAAATATTGTATAGTTTATAGTTTATAGATTATAGAGTATAGAATATAGAAAATTAAAAAATATCTTTAAGCGATAAATAACTAAACAAAATTAATAATCTCAAAATAATCAACCAAACTAAGTAGACATTTTTAATTAACCGAGTTAGCGCATAATATTGTATGCGCCAAGTTGATAATATTAATTTTTCAATGGTAATTAGGACGTCTCAGCAACGTCAACAGGACATCTAAATATGAAAATCCTAATATCGTCTTTATATTAACGTCACAAGGACGTCCTAACAAAGACGTCTTTATCGGACGTCTTTAGGACGTCCTAATTTGGTCTGAGACGTTGCGACCTAGTTTAGACGTCCGTAGAACGTTTGATTTACGTCTGTGCCCGCTGGGAAGGCAGTTATACCCTTGAACTTCAAAGTTGAAGTTTAGAGTTTGTTGATGTTAATGTTGCTTGATGTTGATGTTGCTTTATTACAATTTGAGCGTCCTACTTCATTTTTTATTACCTCATATAAGTTACAACAAGCTGTTCAAACTGCTAAAATAATTTCTCTCACTGATCTGCTGAATAACTCACAATCGGTGGAAAGAGCTGTAACACTTTTATTTGTAGCGTTAAAAACAGTTTATGGAAGGGTGAGGAGGCATAACTGCACTCTAGTTAAAAACCTGAGCAAAATAGAAACCCGAGCAAAATTGAAGCCCGTTCTCCATTCAGAACTTTTTGCGCTTTGGAGAAGCGGAAAAGTTCTTTGAGCATGCGCAAACAGTTTTTTTAAACCCGTTCTCCAATCAGAATTTTTTGCGCATGCTCAAAAAACTCTTCCGAATGAAGAACGGGCTTAAGACACGGTCGTTTACAAGCGTTAAGTTTAGGTGCGCATGTGCCAAAAGTTGATAAAAATTTCAGAGTTTTTAAAATGGCTGCGGCTCTTAGCTACATAATCTTTTTTATATAGCAACTGTTATTGTTAGTTTATTTTTGTTAAAAATTAATGTTGCAACCATATTACTAATCTAAATCAATAAATAAATTCCTTTTTTGTATTAGTAAATAAATAAATACGCTAACCAATTATTTTTAAAGTTTTAATTTGTGTTTTGGCTAAAACTTTTATTTGTAACATTGAGTGGTTTGTTTATTTTTTAAAAATAAATTTTGAGAATTTCTAACTGTACAAATTTAAAAAAAACTTTTCTTTATTATTATTACTACTTTATTTATACTTTGACCTTCTTTTGGTTGTTGCTTAAATTTAAATTTTCTGTAAAAATGTATTTTAACTCGTTCAGCTTGTTAAGAGCATAGTTTTTTCTTGAATTTTGTTCTGGTGCATTTTTATAAAAAAATGCATATATATATATATATATATATATATATATATATATATATATATATATATATATATATGTATATATAATGAGAGAGAGAGAGAAACAGAGAGAACAACGTGCAATATTAAATAAGCAGTTTACATAATTTTTCAGGAATTAAAAAGAGCAAACAAGACAATCATTTTTTAGAAATACAATAATATACATAGCTTACATGAAATTTAAGTTAATTTTATTGTTTCATATTAAACTAAAAATTAATCAAGTTAAAATATTACTTGGTTTTTTTACATATACTAAATCTAAAATACATCTATTTTTTATATGTACTATTTTTAGAAGACTATATATCTGTCATCATATTAGCTGTTTCAACCCTATAATATTGGAAATATTGGAACAATTATTATGACGATAATTGTCATCATAATAATTGACGACAATAGTTATTGTCGTGTAAAAAATACTTAAATATGGTTCGGTTTACTAATTTAGATACCAAGTTGCATTAGTAGCTGGTAATGTACAGTTAGACAATGCTTATTGATATTTATTAGTATTATATATGATTTTATATATTGATAAAGTGGGGGTTAATTTAATAGCTGACTTTGTTAATTTGATTAAGCTGACATTTTTTTTCCTAGATGATTTTATAAAACACTTCAAGAAAACAATTTGATCATTAAAAGCACAGTATCATGTTCTTACTTGACAGAAGCTGAAACCAGATTTTACATTTTTTTTTTAAAGTTTAAAAACTTCAAAAATTATGATTTAAAAAATATGGTTGTTTAAAGTAGGCAAATTCTGTATTAATGGAATATGCTAATAATCTACAGATTGATTATATTGATGAATTTCAGAAATTCGATTGATAATTAAATCAAAAGTTCAATCAGTATGATACAACTTGTTAAATTATGTAACACTGAGAGATAAATAAATAAAATGTATCGATAATTTTGTTGTTGTTGTTAAAAGTATAATTAATAGATTTTATATAAACTTATTTCCTTCCCATGGGATACAAAGCTCCACAATCTAGCAAACCTGGCCTTTTAGCCAATGTACAGATTCAAACATGTTTACTTTAAATTTAGAGATTTTATTAGGGTATATTATAATACATTAAAATTATACTATCAAATAACTTTAGCTCTTTAATTGAACTATTAATGTTATATAAATGATGAGTTAAACTTTTGTGCATGTCTTTTTTCATGCCCTTTGAAACCTGTCTTAAATACAGAAAAATGTTGAATTAAAAAAAACTTTTGATACTGTTTGTTTTTAAATTAAACCTGGGGAATTGATTTTTTGTAGTTATAAGGCTGCTCGACACTTTTTTTGCTCTTTTTTGATATCTTTCTTCCCAAAATGGTTATGTGATATTTTTGTACCCCCCCCCCCCCTCACCTCAGCCTCCTATTTCTTAAGTGACGGGATATTTGTAAACAAAATATATCTAAAAGTTTACTAATTAATAAGGAATTAAGTTGAATTAAAATTCAATATCAATTTTTATCACAACGGAATTAGATCACACAAAAAAAAAGCTATTTGTATAGCCCTAGACGTTACACATTAAGAAAGCCTTAACAATGCGTACGTTTAGGGCGGATACAAAGGATTAAGAAGTTAAACTTTCAAAGTACCTAAAGAAAAGTTGGATGTCAAAATATAAACGTTTAATAGGAAACGGGGGTGCGAAACCAGTGGTTTAGCTACGTATATATATTATGGATACCCATAAGAAGAAGTTGTATTAGTGGCGGATTTAGTATAGTACTCTTTAGTAAGTGCCTTGGAGAACAAGTAAAAAATATAATCCTATACCTGCCTAAAAGTACCTACGTTTTAAACCTACCAACTCACCATTTTATAATATTTTTTTAAATTTAGTGTCTCCAAACTTTTTATAATTGACCTACTACCCTCCCCCCCCCTATCTCATATTTTTACTAAGGGTCTGCGTCTGCTCGTATTCTCTCGGAAGTTCGGTATGAAACGGTAAAAAATGTAAGTATTCGTTTCGTTCCGTTTTTACGAAACAAAAAATATCATTTTGTTTTGTATCGCATTTATACGAAACACGTAAATCTTGTTTCGTTTCGTATCATGTTGTTACGAAACGTGAAATTATTTTTTCGATTTGTACCGTTATTTACGAAACACAATAAAATTGTTTCGTTTCTTATCGGTTTTTACGGAATATTTCATAACTCCCAGCCCAAACAGATATTTCACGATTCCCATGCCCTCGAGCAATACATAAACTTTTACGTTTAATACTTACTAACTCAATGTTTCGTAAATCAAAGTTTAACTAAAAAAATGTATTAACAAAGCAATGCAATAGCCTCATTTTCATAAGGCTTAGCGCATCTAACGAAGTTAAAAAAAGATATTGTCTTCTGTAGGTAGGTTTTAGTAAAACTGATGAACTTAAAGTTAAAATTTTATTACAGTAAAACCGTTTTACTGTAATAAAATTTTAACTTTAAGTTTATCAGACATAAATTATGTATTTGTTTATAAACTCGCATGAAGAGTTTGAAATCATTGCTTGAATTAAATACTTCAAATTATATTATATAACATTTTAAATGCGATATTGTTGTGTTAACTTGAAATATTTTGCAAAACTAATTAATTTATTGTTTAAAAACCATAGTAATTCTCAATCATATAATCATGCCTATAAAAGCTACAATTTTATGGAATTATTTCAATAAAGTTACTGTGTCAGGTGTTAAGTGTGGGGAATGTAAAAAGTGTCAAATCCAAATCAAGTTAACTGATGGATCCACTAGTGGTATCAGGTACCATCTGAAAACAAAGCATCCCACTGACTACGCTACGATGTTAAGAGCTCAAATTGAACTTGAGCGCCAAAGAGAAGAAGATATTAAAGAAATTACAGAAGTTGCCTTCGAACTGAATGACGCATACAGTAAGTTTCTAATTATTTTTCATAAAATAATGTTTTTCCTTGTATAAAGATAATTTTCATGTTTAACTTTAATTTTTATTTCGTTTTTTTAGATCAACGATCACAAAAAGGCTTATCTAAATGTGTTAATGGGGGAACTATTGGGAAATATTCTTCCCAATCAGGCAGGCAATTGGAGACAGACATAGTAATCATGTCATACATTGCCAGGTCAAGTAGTCCATTCACTCTAGTAGATGAACCATGCTTCAAAGAAATGGTGGAACATTTAAATCCAAAAGTAATTGTGAAACATTCCTCGACTTTTTCAAAGTCAAGGAATGTTTCACAAAGTCATTGTCCACGATGCGGCGGCAAACATGAAACATGCTGTGTCAATCATGAACAAAACAAAATATGAATCACTGTTGTGTGCAGACCACCTGAAAGACTAGTAGTGACTGTAGTACTACTACAGACCAACTGACAATTTTCTTCATGACCACATTGATATGGAAAACAGAGAAATAGTTAATGCTTTTTGTAAAAAACTAAGTGAGCATCTACACCTAGCCACGCGATTCAATGAACATGGAAGATACAACCAACACTATGCCTTGGGAAACCTTCTTCATCCGTACTTTAGAGGTTATAAGTTTTACTTCTTGGTAAAAAAAACATTCTTTAATATTCTTTATTTGTTAAAAGACTAAATTTAACAGTTATTGTTTATGATTTCAGGATATATGCTTAGACATTACGGTATCTTCGAAGAGTTCACCAGAAAAGTCATTAACGATCATCCATCGTCGGACGCTGTTTCGATCAGTGAAAAAAATAATCATAAAGCTACACAAGTTAAAATGCCAGTTGGTGTGGATGAGTGCGACAATTTACAAAATATAGAGATTGAACAGGGTAATAATAACCACACCATTAGTCAAAATGTACCGGAAATTGAAAGGGAGTTTGAATCTTTCCACGCTATGCCTCGTGATGAAGAAAAGCATAAAGTTGATGTGCTGAAATGGTGGAAGAAACATGTCTCTACTTTGCCATTGTTAGCACAATTGGCAAGAAATTTGCTCTGCATTTCAGCTGCATCAAGCTGTAGTGAGAGAGTGTTCAGCGCCAGCGGTGGAATTATAAATGATAAAAGACACAGTCTTTCCACTCAGACAGCAAAGCAATTGACTTTGATTAAAGTCAATTATGATCTTGTCTGTCCTCACATGACCTTGAAAATTATAAGCGACGCTGAAGAAGCCCTGGACCCCCCAGCATTAACTCCAGTTAGAACACCTCCCAAAAATCCTATTCCTAAAGCAGTTTTTTCAAATAACCAAAAAAGGTTATTGTTCAAAACAAAAAACGTTTCAACAACGCCATTATGTTCTTCTTCTTTACCATCAACACCAACATCTTCAGGAATCAAAAGAAAAACAATGGAAATTCCAGAAGAATCCGAAACAACATCATCCGAAAAAACATCCGAAAGTGACACTCAACAAGTATTAAAATAAAAATGTTTTAGTTTTTATTGTGAAATTTTAAAATCGTGAAATATAATTGTCTAAATAAAAACTGATTTTTCGTAAAAATCGCAAATGTGTGCTTAAATTGGTACAATATCGAAGTAAATTACTTTTTTATTTTATGCTAGCCCTATCTGTCGTAAAAACATTAAAAACATATTTCTCGTAAAACTCAGAAATTTCTTGTTTGTTTGTTTCGTTTTTTACCGTTTTATTTCGGAAAAAGTTTAATCTTATTTCGTTTCGTACGGTTTTTTCAAAACAAAAAATGTGTCCCGTATTTATCACGAAACCAGAAAATTGTATTTCTTTTCGTACCGTATTTTGCGAAAAAAGATAAAAATTGTTTCGTTTCGTAACGGTTTTATCGAAACGATATTTTGCATCGTTTTGTTTCGTTTCGTCTTGTACCGTTCTGAGACGCACACCCTTAATTTTTACATTTGCAGACCCCTCTTCCTCTCCGAGCGTTCGTATTTTATGGACCATCCCTTAACTACTTTTAAAGTGCTACGAAATAAAAAATTTAAAATGTTCAAAATAACTAAGTTTTCAATTAAATAAGATTTCAAACTCTTTCCCTAGGGTTTTTAATAACTGGTGTAAGATTTACCACCATAAAATTAAAGACACATGATTCGTTTAAAAATCATTAAATAACAAGCAATAAGTTTACGACTGTTAGGGAGCTACTCATAAAAATCAAGTGAACTATAAACTAGTCAATTTTTTAAAATATTTGAAAATAAGGTCAAGATAAATCTAATTATTTAATAAACAGGGGTGGGTAAGGGGAAAAAAAGAATTATCTGGTAGTATGAAATGCAACGAACAAAGAAAAAAATGAATTTAGTAATTTTCATATGTTTTGCAGTATTTTGCTTTTCTGTTTTTTTTTATTTTTTGTATAATATTTAATCTCTTACATATAAATTTTTACATTATTTAGACTTCCTTTTTTAAAAATTTTCATTGCAATATATTCTTTTTCTCAAGGTTGGTTTAAGCTTTCTGTTTATAGGGTTAGTTTTTGATTGTGTGATTTAAGAAGACTATTTTTTTATAAATCGAATAACACGATCTTCTAACATGTGTAACTTTGATAACAATGAACCATATGACCAATTAGATCAATAAAACTATTAAATCAGCAATATACTTTTCTAATGATAAATATATAGTAATAGTAAAAAGCATATCTCTTTTATCTAATATAAATTTCATTTCTCAAACATACTACAAACACTTTAATATGTATACTAATATAATACTCTATGCAATACTTATCAACCAATAGTTTTTTAAAAATATTTAATCAAAACATTTAAAATAATATACTTTCAAGAATATTGTTCTAAAGATTAATATCCTATACCTTCTATCCAAAATCATCAAATTGTGTGCTCTTGTTCATCTATTAAATTGTCTATTTGTCTGGAATCAGGCACAAGTTAACCTCCCTCCCTCAATCTATTATTTCTTTACAGCTATAAAAAGTTCTTGTTATTATCTTCCGTCGTTTAGTAACCTTAAATTATTTATCCTCAATCATTACTTAGTTATGTACGTAAATAATAATTCACAAACCAATGCATAAAATCATGGAATAGATTACCTCTTCATTTTAAATCACTAAACTTTTTACTTAAACCGGTCTTTACGCCTACTTTTGGAAAGATACTGTTTGTAAAATATTGGGCTCATTGTGGGTTATTATTATTACTTTTGGTGTTATTTTATGTAATAAAAATATTATTTTATGTAATAGTAATATTATTTTATGTAATAAAAATATTATTTTATGTAATAGTAATATTATAGCATTGTTTTACTATTATTCATATATTATTACTTATTTTTATTGTTTAATATTTAGTTTTAATACTTATCAAAACTATTATTACTATTATTATTGTTATTATTATAAATTTTGTGGTAACTCGCCTCCAAGGCAAAGAAGGCCACTACAGATGAGGAGGCTACTTGTCGTTATTACCCTATCTCTATTATTAATATAGTATTATATTTATTGATATAAATAGTATTATTAATACTATTGATATTAATAGTATTGCTAATATTGTTATTGGCCTCGTTATAATTGTTTTAATATTATTATAAATTTTAATTTTACTTTAGATTAGTACTTATACTATTTCTAAATATCCATGAAATGTAATAATCTTTTTTCATAATATATATTGTTATTATACTAGGTTGGTTGAAAAGTTCGCGGAGCGGAAATGAAAAAACAATTTTATGATTCAAAAAATGACTTTATTCTTCAGTATATTCTCCCTTAAAAGCAATACACTTTTTCCAACGATTCTCCAATTCATGTATCCCATCTCTGAAGTGCGATTCCGGAAGGCCTTCAAAATACCCATTTACGGCTGCAATGACTTCTTCATGTGATGAGAAACGCTTTCCACGTAGAAATTTTTTGAGATGTGGAAAGAGGTGGAAGTCGGACGGAGCCAGATCTGGTGAATAGGGTGGATGTTCCAAGCGTTCGTACTTTAATTCGACCAATTTCGCCTTTGCAACATCGCTGATATGAGCAGGTACGTTGTCCTGGTGATAAATGATTTTTTTATGCAGCAAACCAGGTCTTTTCTCACGAATTTTTTTATCCAACTGGTCCAAAAGATTTTTATAATATTCACCTGTTATCGTTTTACCGGTTTGAAGGTAATCTATTAATAAAATTCCTTTCGCATCCCAAAAAACTGATGCCATAACCTTCTTTGACGATTTTGACACCTTCACTTGCTTCGGAGCTGAACAACCGGGTTCTGTCCACTCTGCAGTTTGTTGTCGCAGCTTCGGATCATAGTGGTAAACCCAAGTCTCATCCATGGTTACGAATCGACGCACAAAATCTGTTTTATTCTTTTGAAAACGGGCCAAATGTTCTTGAGAAAGTTTTACTCGAGTGCGTTTCTGATCCAGAGTTAGCGAATGCGGCACCCATCTTGCCAACAGCTTTCTCAGACGTAATTCATCGTGCAAGATGTGTAATACCCGTTCATCTGAGATGCCCACAGCCTCAGCAATTTCACGTTTGGTCAATCGTCTATCATCCATAACCATGTCATGCACAGCATTAATCGTTTCTTCAGTAGTAGCACTTTTTGGACGTCCAGAGCGAGGGTCATCTTCAAGGCTTGAACGCCCACGTTGAAACTCCGCAGCCCATTTGCATACTGTTGTTTTTGAAGGAGCATCATCACCCAACACATTTACCATTTCATTATGAATTTCCATGGGCTTTAAACCTTTTTTCACAAAGAATTTTATTACAGTACGATGTTCAATATTTTCCATTTTAAAAAATACTATGACACGTCTAATTTCAATAGCTTGTAAACAAAGACTGAAATGACATATCGACTTGAAATTTTTTATGCGTTCATACGAAGAATGAATACGTTTAATACAGTTATAAATTTGTTTCTACTACTGCAACATAGGTGCCGCTCCGCGAACTTTTCAACCAACCTAGTATATATATATATATATATATATATATATATATATATATATATATATATATATATATATATATATATATATATATATATATATATATATATATATATACACTTTGCATGCATGTGTATGTTGCATACATACACACACATATGATATATCATATATCATGTGTGTGTGCATGAATGTAAGAATTTTTTTTATAACTTTCTTCTGGTGCATTTTAAATGATCATGTTAAAAAATAAAGATGAAATATTTATTTATGTTATATTAGCTAATAGAAAATCAAATTTACTTACTTTACATTGCATGTATTTGGAAACTTGCGATTGCTAAAACAAAACATACACACATATATTATGTGTGTACGTTTTGTTTTAGCAATGGAAAGTTTCCAAATACATGCAATGTATAGTAAAAAAAAAATACTTTTCTATTAGCTAATATAATATTAATAAATAATGTTATTTTTTTATCTTTATTTTTATAACATGATTGTGTAAAATGCACCAGAACAAAGTTATAAAAAATAATCTAAACACTTAACTACTCACATGATAAAAATACATTTTTCTACCAAAATTAAATTTAAGCAAGAATCAAAAAATAATAAAACTATAAAGTAAATAACATTAAAGAGGTTAAAGAAAAAATTTTCAAATTCGTACAGTTAGAAATTCAGAAATTTTATTTCAAAAAAATAAACAACTTGCTTTCACAGAAATACAACTATGTGCATCTTAACTTGTTTTTAAATTTAATTTAATTGCCTAATATTAAATAAATGACGCTTGTTTATTGATGTAAAAAAAAAAAAGTTTATAATACTGAACAGTACATCAAAAAATGCAACTAAATGGTATTCATCTAAAATTTACTCCGTAGTTAAGAACGGCAGCCATTTTAAAAGCTCTAAAGTTTTTACTGAAAACTCGCGCATGCGTACCTAAACATAACGCTTTTTCCTAATATCTAAACGACCGTGAAGAAATGCGACCATTGCATACTTTCTTCAAAGTAATTTTATCATCTTTTATGTTACAAATATATTGAAAATGACAAACATTTCTTTAAAATACAGCTTGTTGTTTCTTCCAATATGAGGAAATTAAAAAAGTTTTGTATTGTAGTAATAAATGTTAAAAATTAGATAAACCATACGCAGGGCGCAAATTCGCGAGATAAAAATTCTTCCATTAAACTAACCTAAATTAAATCAAAATCAGAACTCTCGGTAAACACTCAAAAAAAAAATAATCTTGCAAAAAAAACAAACGAAAAATTGTTTTTTTGAGAAAATTTCCCAAAATTACCATACGCCCAAACTAGCTAATTTTTCAAATCCCAAAGTGAGCCAATGTGTTCAGAAAAAAAAGTATGTTTATACAGTGACTTACTATCGATTTTTAATAGCTTTGTGGAATGTTTTATTATCACCAATAAACACGTAGAATAAATATTATTACCAATAAACACGTAGAACTGATAACTAAT